CTAATGAGTTAGTCCTCACAGCCAACTCTAACCACCAGATGCTCCCACCTCCTGCTCCTGTGAAATACCCATGGGAAGTGTACAGACCAATGACTGGAAAACAGTCATGAGAAAATGAAAAGGGGGAAAAATTTAGATCAGAAAACCGAGTAACAGCAGGGCTCCAGTTTTGTTTGAAATAGTTTTCTATTCACACCTGTAGAAACAATACTAGGAAGGAATATATTACAGGGTTTACAGTGGCTATCTCTGTAACACAGAATCATCGATGATTCTGATTTTCCTTTTTTTGGTCCCATTTTTAAAAGTTTTTCTACAATCTATATTTGTGCTTTGCTGCTTTGAAAAAGTGTTATTTTAGACAGATAAGGAAGAATGGATAGGCCAGCCTAACTTTTGTCTTTTTGGAAATAAAAGAGCAGGCTCACTGGGCAATATTCCCATCTGCCCTGAGGCAGGCATCCTGTTGGCCAAGTGGAAACTTCCAGAGAAAAGCTCTGCGGCAGGGGAATGCCGGAGGTACCCAAGCGCGTGGGAGCTCTAGAGTGCTGCCGCCCTGAGGGGGTCCTGCCTGGGAGGGGTCTGCTGCTTCCGGGCTGCCCTGAAGGACTTGTTCCTTGGTTCTCCTTCAAATAAAACGGGGCAGTCCCTGTTTCAGCCTGGCCTGGTCTTCCCCCTGCTCTTCTCAGTTTACCGAAAAATACCACAAAGCAAAATGAGCAAACAGCATGTCTGGCCCATTTTCTTTCTTTTCTTTTTTGTGTAAGCCGTTTTAAACGGAGATAGATTTCATTTGGAAAGCATTCCAAAGAAAGGAGCATTAGTTAAGCACACATTTTGGAAAGCACAGCTCTCCTCTAGAAATTCTGGCTTTCTTAAGAAACCCAGGATTTTCTTTTGAGGTGATAGCTGGGATCCAGGAAGGTTCCATCGTCTCCACCCACAGTGGCTTGGTTATTTTATGACAGTAGCCTCAATTCACACAATATAGGTTCTTGCTACTCAGAGGTACGGCCCACTTTGCTGCAGAGATACAGACCTGCCTGCTGAGGAGTCCTGGGTCATGGCTGTGCTATGCTGGTCGTGTCAGATACGTTGCTAGAGTCCTTTGATGCTTCTGCTCCTACTCAACCCCTGCCCGCATTAGAGACCATGAGGACCAAAGCATGACATGTACTCTAAGGACCTCCACTCATCCCATCTGCTCTTTCCACATTCTTCCTTGCTGGGGAATTCATCATTCCCACCTCAATGATACCTCCCCCTCCAGATACACACACAGCTGGGTCAAGGTCTTCCTTTTGTCTGGGCTCTAAGTCTTGCTGGAGGTGAAACTCATCCTCTTGCTCCCCTGGAGAACAGCTGTGTCTATGATCGACAGCTGACTACCCAGAGTGTTGTGTCTCAGAACTCTTCTGAGACACAGTCTTACTCTGTCGCCCAGGCTGGAGTGCAATGGCGCGATCTCCACTCACCGCAACATCTGCCTCCCGGGTTCAAGCAATTCTCTTGCCTCAGCCTCCTGAGTAGCTGGGATTACAGGCACGCACCACTACTCCTGGCTAATTTTTCTATTTTTAGTAGAGATGGGGTTTCACTATATTGGTCAGGCTGGTCTTGAACTCCCAACCTCAGGTGATCTACCCGCCTCAGCCTTCCAAAGTGCTGGGATTACAGGAATGAGCCACCACACCCGGCCAGAAAGAACTCTTAACAAGTGATCACTCATCCTCCTCCGTTTTTTTACGATTTGTAAGCGCAGCTTCTGAAGACCGTCATGGAGCCTGCCTTCACCTCCTCGTTCATGTTACGTTCCAGCCACTAGTGGGTTCTCTTCTTTCCAAATTTGAACAGGCAGCCCTGCAAAACCCAGTCCCCTTATTGTAACGGACTTTGCCTGGACTCTTTTGTCTTGTTCTTGAAGAATCTACCATAACTTATAGAAAACTCATGACTTAATGAGAGAGTGTCAATATACAGTTCTCAGCTGGTACGTGGCCATATTAAAGCCTAAGTTACATAGCTAAGATCTATCCACAGACAATAGAAATACTGCCAGTGCTCCCAGGAATTTCCTGTGCCCACCTTCTCATGTTTTATTTGGGTGGGGGGTGGGGTGTCTCATTTTGGACAGAAGAGGGCAGTATTGCACATATGGTCTCTCCTGTAACTGTGGCTTCCTGGGAGCCCAGAGTTTCTTATTTAATGATAGATGTTATTGGAACATTCCGCTTTGCTTTTTCTTAATTGTAGGCCTAAAATGGCCAGGGCAGCAAGGACACAAAGACCCACGTGAACCAGGCCTTCAAAAGCTTGTTATCCCTGATGTCAAGGGCCTTCAGTTACATCCTGCTAGTGCCCCCAGGTACTAGGTGTGTGGGTGTGAATAGCTAAAGGGTGCCATGGAGACTGGGGAGGGGACCCGGTGGCAAGCATTGTGAATGGGACCACAGAGGGCTTCTGAGATGGCCAGGAGGAGCTGGGGAGAACAGCGCTCCAGGTGGAAGGAAGAGCCTCTGCCATGAGAAAGGGCTGACGTGCTGGAGGAAGAGCTGGGAGCCAGTGTGCTTTGGGTATAAAATGTGGGAACAGAAGAATGAACAGTAAGACTGGAGATGCTGGCTGGGGCCAACCACACAAGTTAAAGGCTTTAGGAGATTTGACTCTGTCCTATAATCATGGCTAACAGTGAACGTTTCTGTGCACCAGGGCATGGTTCTAAACATTTTTCAAGTCCAACTCACAAAATCCTCCCAATGGCCATGATTATCCTATTGAGAGTGGCCAGGTTCCCAGAGACAGATACTTGGGAATAGGACGTGCAGGTGTTTTGAAGAATGCTCCTGGGATCGACACCTGGTGAGGAAAGAGCCAGAACAGGCAGAGGCAGATGTAGGCCTGTGATCAGCCTGAGCCAAGGCTGGAGCCTACCCCAGGGCACCCTGTGGTGGGGACCACCCTGCAGAGATCTTCCAAGTTGGGATGAGAGGCCTTGGTGTTCACACACTGGGGTCAACCAGTCCTTAGATGCAGGTGCCCCAAAGAAGGGGGCGGGGCCTTGGGCAGCTCTCTTTGGTCAGGCTCAGTGTCCGGAGACAGACACAGCTGAGGGCTGTCAGTCTGCAACACTCCAAGAAGCTGGGGAAATAAATCTTTTAGTACTGAAGTGGGTTCTGGCTGACGCAGCCCAGAGTCCACTACTCTGAGTCTAGGAAGCTCGCCCAGGGTGTGAGCGGAAGAGGCAGGACTGGAAACCAAAGCAGCCTGGCCTCAGAGTCTGACCTCTTAACCAATCACCACCATACTGCAGTGTAGACAGTGGGGCTTGACGGATTTCTAAGCAGAGGAAAGTTGAGGCTCAAGTCTTTCTTTGGGAACATAGCTTTTGATGATATAAAATGGGTGGGAGATTGGAGATGAGAATACCTCTTTTTATATATGCATGCACACACCTAAAGGAAATGCCAGCATTATTACCGTATTAATCTGTTCTCACACAGCTAAGACATACCTGAGACTGGGTAATTTATAAAGGAAAGGTTTAATGGACTCTCAGTTTCATATGTCTTGGGCGGCCTCACAATCACGGTGGAAGGCAAAAGAGGCATGAAGTCATGTCTTACATGGCGGCAGACAGTGGAGCATTCAGGGGAACTGCTCTTTATACAACCATCAGATCTCGTGAGACTTATTCACTATCACGAGAACAGCACGGGAAAAACCCACCCCCTGATTCAATTACCTCCCACTGCGTACCTGTCACGACACATGGAGATTATGGGAGCTACAATTCAAGATGAGATTTGGGGGAGACACAGCCAAACCTTTGATATACACAATTCAAAAAGCACAAATGTGAAAATCAATCTTCTTACTCCTGTCCCCTCTGCTCCCCGGATGCTGCCATCCTTACCAGTTGCTCGTATATTTCCCCCAGAGATAGTGTGTGCATATTGAAACAGACACAGATGGATACCGTATTTCACACTCTTGGCATCACACTATCCACGCTATTCTGCACAGCTTTACAGTATGAACACCACTTAGCTATTGCTACAATACCATTCCCACGGAGCTGTCTTGTTGCTTTAAAGACGGCAAAGCTTTGCATTGTATGGATTTACTATAATTTATTGAACCAGATCTCTTGAGGGAGATTTTTGTTCCTGATCTTTTAATATAGCAAATAATGCCATAATTGTACATGTGGCAGCTTGCACATATGAGAGGGTTTATATGAGATAGTCCCAGTTACTAGATCAAGGGGTATACGCAGTTATTTTGACAGAGCCGAATTGGTTTTTACAGAAATCAACACTCTACTCACTGTATGACAGCACCTGCTTTCCCAAATCCTGACTGCAATTTTGCCAGTCTGTGAAAAACAGTCATTCACTGTGGCTTTCATTTGCTATTTATCTTCTTATGAGTGGGGTTAAGCGTCTTTTCATACCTTTAAGAGATACTGTTTTCTTGTGAACCATCCACACTGTGTGCTGGCCAGCCCAGTTGAAGGAAGCAAACGGAGCCCCTTTTTGCTAAAGGGAACCCCGCCTTCAGGTGGGCTGACCGACATTGATCAGAGTCTTTGCGGATTTAAGTGGCTCAGCCTTTGTTAATTCGGTTACTGACTCCCTGCGCCCCATCTGCAGAACCGTCCACCTTCTGCGTGCATTTCTGGTTTTGGTCTCTTACCAAAGCAGGGCTCTTTCCTTTTTGCTATGCATGACAAACATTCAGAATATCCTCTTAAAACGACACCTTCCAAGGGAGCCAAGTATGGAAAGCAAAACAAGGGCTCTGTATTTGAGGCCAGGGCGGGATTTGCAGAGTGGGGGCAGGGAATGTCACCGTCAAGGACATCCTGGGTTTATCCGCATCCTGGGGTCGGGGGTCTGGGTCTGTGCTGCTGTCAGTCCCCGGAAAGCTCCTGACTCCCCTGCCCCCAGGGCAGTTTCTGGGACTCACCTCCTCTCCCTGCGCGGTGTTTCTGTCTGCAGCTCATGTGCTCCTCGGTGCAGAAGGCCCTGTTCGAGGAGGAGGACCACGTGAAGAAACTGCAGCAGAAAGTGGCCACCCTGGAGAAGCGCAACCGGCAGCTCCGGGAGCGGGTGAAGAAGGTCAAGAGGTCCTTGCGGCAGGCACGCAAGAAGGGCCGCCACCTGGAGCTGGCGAACCAGAAACTCAGCGAGAAGCTGGCTGTGGGCGCGCTGCCGCACATCAACGCCCCAGGGCCCGTGCGCGCCCCCTACCTGCGGGGTTAGCGGGACGGGGGCTGCTGGGTGCGCAGCGCCAATCCTGGCGGCAATGGAGAATGAGTGAGGTTTTGTACATGCATCTGTTTCAAGCGTTGTAGGAGTTTTCGTTTTTAATCACGCATTTGGTTGAGTCTAAATGGATAAAATGCAAGTCTTGCTTTCCCCTTGGGTGCTGCTCCTTCCTGGCCTGACCCCAGACGCAGTGCATGGAAGTCCAGAGGCAGCCGGACCCCTGAGTGCTGTGTGCTGGCTTGCAAGCGGCCAGGAAAGAGCCCTGATGGGGAGAGAACATTTTAGAATCTCTAGTGTAAAAGACATCAGGGGGCTTGGCCTTTATTTCAGAAGAAAATCAGGGTGGTCCTCAGCTCCCCGGTCCTGGTCAACCATCAGTCCTGATGAGCGAGCTGAGCCAGTGCTGGAACCTGCTGGTGCTTCACTGTCCCTATCTTTGGAAGGGATTTGTGGCCTTGCAAAGCACCCAAGATACCTGAAAATCTACACGCACAGGGCCTCCCTATCCAGCCAGCATTTCCCTTCCAGCTAAGGCAGGTAAAGACTTAATGAGCTCATCACAGGGGAGGGAGCTGAGGAGCAGGTCAGCTGGTAATTAAACAAGATAAATTACACCTGATTTCCAATACCAGCTACAAAGGATTGAGGATGATGATACCTATGGGTCGCGTTAACACAGGGGGCAATTGCCTTGATCAGCCTGTTGTGGGTCATCAAACTGCTTCCTAAATAGAGAGAACCTGCGCAGTATCTCAGCCACTGCTATATTCTCACTCCGTGTTTGCTCAGTCATGGTTTCCAATGTCTCTGAATTCACAGTGAGGTGCCCCAAGATGTTCTGAACTTCTACAAAGACACCTCCTTACCTACTGGGATCATGTGACCTGACCTCACTCCCAGCCAGGCTCCCAAAGGGCCTGTTCCAGGATTCCAGTCTCTTCCTCTTTATGCAAACAACCCCCACTCCCCGCCCCAGCAACAAGTCTTGTTTATTCGATAGGAATATTTGTTCATCCTAGCATTTGTCCTGACGTGAATTCCTTATCCACCAAAGCACTTCACCTTTCTGGAAAGAAAACTTTTAACACAGTACTATAAGGAAAAATGAGAATATTCACTATACTTACGGCTCAGGCACATTTGAGCAGGTCCCAGCTGTGTGACTCAGAAGTCAACTGAGTGGCTTTCTCTTGGTTATCTTTTGATCATGGCCTTTTAACCCAATAAGAGCCCTTCCCCGCTGTTCCAGCAGTAAAGGCTCCTGACCCCTCATCAGGATCTGCCCCCCACAGACCGCCCAGACATGGCAGGGTCTGGTGATACTGTCTTCTGCAGTGGAGATGGCACACACTGTCACTTTTCCACACTCCTGCCTTCAGAAAAGCTGGGTGCTTCAGCCAGTCTGGGGAGACGCATCTTCTTTTTTATTTTTTGAAGTGGAGTTTTGCTCTTGTTGCCCAGGCTGGAGTGCAATGGCATAATCTCGGCTCACTGCAACCTCTGCCTCCTGAATTCAAGCGAATTCTCCTGCCTCAGCCTCCCGAGTAGCAGGGATTACAGATGCATGCCATCATGCCCAGCTAATTTTGTATTTTTTTTTTTTAGTAGAGACGGGGTTTCACCATGTTGGTCAGGCTGGTCTCGAACACCTGACCTCAGGTGATCTGCCTGCCTTGGCCTCCCAAAGTGCTAGGATTACAGATGTGAGCCACTCTGCCTGGCCAGGGAGATGAATCTTATGTTGCTTGAGTCTTGATGACAGGTTGCTGTCCAAGGAGAAGTGTCTGCTCTCGCCTGGACAGATTGGAGACTTTTACCCGAGGCACTTACACGGTCAAGCTCTGCCACCACTTCGTCAGCTGTGTTCTCCATAGTGTGGTGCAATAGCAGGTGCGTCTTCCAGTTTCTTCCTCCTGGGGACATTTCCACAAAGCAGCTTTGCTCCCCGACAAGAGATTGGCCAGCCCAAGGGTGATGTACAGTCTGTGCTTGGAGAACAGTGGAAGCTGCGCCCCTCCAGCTGCTTTCTGTTCTGCTTTTCCAATAAATACAAACGGCGATTTCAACCACAACGGTGAGATGATGAGTGTTTCTTTTGGCTCAGGGAGATTTCAGGATTTCCAGCTTTGGCCTGGAAAAGTGATTTAGTTCCGTTAGGGGGAATGCCTGTGAGTAGCACTTGGGGCATTGAGGAGCCTGAATTCAAGCCTGCTCTGCTGTCCCTGTCTGGATGTGGCCTCACCCCATCTCGCCCTGGGGCTTCTGTGCCTCAACACACCTGCAGAAAAGCAGTGTTCTCCTGCCCGGCTCCTCACCAGGGACAAGCAGTGACATTAATCAGTGTGTTCAGGAAAGCACACTGAGATCTCTGCCACAGGGGACTCCCCAGGTCCATGTTATCGGCTGCACTGTCATCCACTGCTGCCCCGTCGCCTGTTAATTGCAGGAATACATTACACTTCACGCTCTAAGAATGATTCGGACCTTCTCGTTAGCCAGCCCGTCCGGGGACTATCTCTGAGATCCAGGCCATTATTTAGTTTCCCTTTGTGGTGCAAGGAGCCCAAGAGACTTCCACACTCACGTAATAACAGGAGCCAGGTACAGTCTAGAATCTTCTAGCTACAGTCCCCAGAAATCAAGATGGCAGCACGTGGGCCATAGCTAGCGTGGGTTTAAATTCTTGACCTACTGGAGTTCGAGACCAGCCTGGCCAACAGGGTGAAACCCTGTCTCTATGAAAAATACAAAAATTAGCAGGGTGTGGTGGTAGGTGCCTATAATCCCAGCTAGTCAGGAGGCTGAGGCAGGAGAATCGCTTGAATCCAGGAGGCAGAGGTTGCAGCGAGCTGAGACTGTGCCACTGCACTCCAGCCTGGGCAACAGAGTGAGACTCCATCTCAAAAGAAAAAGAAAAATTTTGACCTAAGCCATGGCCAAAAATACCCAGAAAGCCCATTGATTCCACCACAAAGCCAACATAGCCACAAATCCCAGACATAGGACAACTTGGGTTGAAGTCGGATAGCCTTGCCACAACTCATTCAAAAATCTCAGTAACTAATTGGGAATGAGGATCCTAATAGATATATTCAGTCCAATTACCCTAAACTCGTAAGCCCTACTGGGCTTTTCTGCTAGCAGAAACAGCACTCCTTCCCTGTTTGATGAAGCTGTCCTTACCCTGCTTAAGGACCACATCATGGCCTTTACTGAGATAGTTCCTTTGTATAAAGAGCCCAGCTGTCCTCATGCTCGACTGTCAGGACCAGCTGTGTGATTTGTGAGACCCCAGTACAACATGACAATTCAGAGTCCCTTGTTAAAAAATTATTGAGGATTTCAAGGCAGCAACAGCAGAGCATTAAACCAAGCGTGGGACCCTCTGAAGCACAAGGCTCTGTGTGGCTGCATGGTCAGAGGCCTGTGAAGCTGACTCTGCCCCTGCTACCATTCCGTCTTTACCTCTACACCTAGAATTAGGTTAATTGAACAGAGGGAAAACCACCAAGTCACGCTCAGAAGACTGCTTACACACCAAAATAATTTCAAGATTTTGCCAATTTATAGTGGTTAAAACCTAAGGATTATACAGTGGGAATGGATATTTAGTGTCTTTCCTAGATTAGCAAAGGGGAAACCTAACTTTAGATTGTGTAGAATTTACTTATATGGGCACATTTGATAGTGTCCAGATTCAATGTGCTAGCTAACTCTGGCAGCTGGAAGGGTTTCCTGCTCGGTTACTTGAACTACGGACTCAATGGTAAGCTATGCTGAATGAAGACGAGGTGCCAAAAGTTGCTAGGTATAATTTAGACAAAATGATCCAAAGTATTAGGAAGAAAGGAGAGTTCAAATTGCAACTCAGTCAGCTAGTTCCTAACTTGGTACCTGAGAAGACGCAGAACACATTCACTTGAAAAAGCATCACGTGTCGGCATCCTCGTGAAGCACAGAAGCAGCCATCCTCGGAAGCTCAGAGATGAACGTGGGCAATGCCACCATTAAAGTGGGTCCCTGAGCTCGGTGTGGATGATTGGGTCCTAGGGTACAAACACAGTACACCCTGTAGCCATGCTCAACTTCCAGAGACAAAGTGGATGTGGTCATAGTAGTAGGAAGCGGGGCCAAGGAAGTCATCCAAATGATTGATCATAGAGTTCCGAGGACTGAACAATAGATGGGCCTCCTAGGAAAGGGCAGACTGATTTGTAGATCAGAAAGCAAGACAGGAGAAGGAAGAAAGGGCAAAAGAGAATGAGCAAGTGAGAGAGGGAAGTGAAGAAAGGAAGAGAAAGAAAGGGGGAAAAAAGAAAAGGAAGGGAGGGGAGGGGAGGGGAGGATTTTGGGAGGTCGAGGCAGGTAGATCACTTGAGGTCGGGATTTCAAGACCAGCCTGGTCAACATGGTGAACTCTGTCTCTGCTAAAAAAGTACTAAAAGTTAGCCAGGCTTGGTAGTGGGTGCCTCTATTCCCACCTACTTGGGAGGCTGAGGAAGGAGACTCGCTTGAACCCGGGAGGTGGAGGATGCAGTGAGCCGAGATTGTGCCACGGCATTCCTGCCTGAGTGACAAAGCAAGACTGTCTCAAAAAAAGAAGAAGAAAAAAGAAATCTAGATCTGGCAGACAGAAGCCTGACTTGAGCTTACATGTATGGGCAAGTCATGGCCCTTCAACCAATTCCAAGACCTAAGACAGTTCGTAGACCCCCCCTTGATCAAAGCGAGGTCAGGAATCCTTGAAGAAAGACATTGTGGCAGCATTACGTGACACTGTTCATCTTCCTAGACGACTAGAAAGGGAGCTTCAGCTACTTAGCAGTGTAAATGCACCACAGCAAAGGAAATCCTAAAACCTTTGTGAGATTATTGATGCTGGTGCTGACCTCTTACTGAGACAACAGAGGGGGTGTTTATGGGGGCCAGAGAATACATGGTACTCTGGCACAAATTCACCTCACGTTAAGTTTCACAAGTCTGTAAGCCCACTCCGTGGCTATTTTCCCCAGCTCCTGAGAAAGTAGTCAGAACAGACATTCTTGGCATCCGGCAGATCCTCACATTGGCTCTCTGAACCATGGGGTTAAGGTTATTGTGTCAGGGAAGGCAAGAGGAAATCTTGGAACTTCAATTTGTTAGGAATGCTAAAGTAGATAAATAGTAATAAAATATAAACCAGGAGAATCATATTTTACCAAATGGAGACTATTAGCAAAAAGACAGAAGTTATAAAAAGGAATCCAGTGGAAAATCTGGTGTTGGAAAGTACAAATAACTGAAATGAAAAATTCACTAAAGGGACTCAACAGCAGATGTGAACAAGCAGAATTATCAGTAAACTTACAGATTCTCCAGGCTAAGAAAGAGAAATAAAAAGGAATGAAGAAAAATGAACAGAGCCTAAGAGATGTAGAGGATACTATCAAGTGGACCAACATACACATATTGAGATTCCTAGAAGGAGAGAAGAAAAAGGAAGAGACAGAGAGTAGATTAGAAATTGCCAGGTGCTCGATGTGAATCGGGAGTGGCTACAGGGTTTCTTTTGGAGTGATAAAAATGTTCTGGCGTTAGACAGCGGTAGTATTTTACAACACGGCGAATATACTAAAAACCACTTAATTATACACTTAAAGACAGTGAAAATCGTGAATTTTTGTTGGCAAATTTTATCTTAATTTAAAAAATTATCATTTCAGTTCCTCCTGCCTTCCCTTTGTCAATATAATCCCTCACGGGATGCGACTTACCCAGCACCGGTGTCTTTCCTTGGACCATTTCCTCTGCCTTTTGCCTTGTCCTCTATTTTTGTCCCCCTCCATCTGAGAAAATCCTACTCAATTCAAAAAATCTTGCCCGAGTGCTATCACGATTCTCATTCCTCATGGCCACTTTTATAATTCTGTAAATTATTAGAGTTTGGACCTGGATAGCTATGGAGAAGACCTGGACTATCCAGTCTAAGCCCAACTGGAGAGTTTTGCTAAGTATCATTTTTTGTTAAATTGTGTTGTTGTTGTTTTTAAAAAACATACTATCAAACAACCGTCTGAACCGTTTTGAAGAGTGCAGTTCAGTAGTCAGCATAGTCACGCCGTTGTGCAACAACTGAGTATCACTGAAACCTTGACGGGTGAAGTGCTGCCTAACCTCGCTGGAGGCAATGACTGCTCCTTCCGTAATTCTGTGGCCTTTGGGGCATGCTCTTGGTCTAGACCACATTTCTTTCCAGTTAGCTCTTGTGTCTGTCCCTCTCACTCATGTTTGAGCTCCCTGAGGACAGGGCATATGGCTACTTCACTGCTGACCTTCATCTCCTCCACACTGTGACACTAACTAAATGCTCTCTGAGGCAAGAACGAAGGGATGAAGACAGCAGCATCATGTACCAAGGCTGCCACCATCACAGAACTGCAGGTGTGAAGAGAAGAGGGCAAAGAAGGACTCTTCACCACTCAGGTTT